CCTGCATCTCCTCCGAAACGGCGTCGTTCGCTCACGCCCACGTCGACTGGAAGGAAACTCAAAACGCCCACGTTTTCAAGGCCGACGTGCCGGGGCTGAAGAAGGAAGAAGTGAAGGTGGAAGTGGAAGACAGGAGGGTGCTCAGGATCAGCGGCCAGAGGAGCAAGGAGACCAAGGAGAAAGGAGACTCCTGGCACCGCGTCGAGAGAAGCAGCGGCCAGTTCTCCAGAATGTTCCGGCTGCCGGAGAATGCCAAGGTGGACGAAATCAAGGCCACGATGGAAAATGGCGTTCTCACTGTTACCGTCCCCAAGGTTGAGAAGGAAAAGAAACCCAATGTTAAATCTGTTGAAATTTCCTCCTGAATTTGCATTTCATCTCAATTCTAGGGTTCTGTCAATAATAAACCCTCCTTGTCGTCGATTGAGTGTTTGGAATGAAATCGAATCGCAATGTAATCATCTCATCATTTCTTGAATCCAACTTCCATGTGTGCATCTTTTCAATTTCTTTCTTTTTATACGAAATGGCAACACACGAAACAGAGGATGAACCCACCCTTTATTGTAAATAATTGATCATTAGAGCTTCTAATTTCAATGTTCCTCTTTTCCCAAATTTTGAKATACTTTTCATTTTGTTGAAACATTCTATAAGTGTGAATTCAGAAAGTATCATACATACGATCACATTTCTTACAAACCGCACTCACTCCAGCGGAAGAGAGTACTTGTTATTTGACGAACCAAAACTAAAGCGCAGAACACAGAACACAGAACACAGAACAGAGCACAGGTTTATAGATACAAACTTAACCGCCGATTTCAATGGCCTTGACCTCGGGCTTCTTCTCCTCCTGTTTGGGCACCATCACCGTCAGCACTCCGTTCTCCATGTTGGCCTTGATCTCCTCCATCTTGGCGTTCTCCGGCAGCCGGAACCGCCGCATGAACTTCCCGACGCTCCGCTCCACCCTGTGCCATTTGTCGCTCTTCTCCTCCTCTTCTCTGCTCCTCTCTCCGCTGATCTTCAGCACCCGCCCCTCTTCCACCTCCACCTTCACCTCCTCCTTCTTCAGCCCAGGCAGGTCCGCCTTCAATATGTGAGCCTCCGGCGTCTCTCTCCAGTCGATCCGAGTATTCACCACCGCCGCCGTCTCGTCTCCGCCAGAGGACGCCGCCTTCCCCGTGAACGGAAATAACCCTTCCATCGGATCCCAGATGTCCAGAGAGAACGGATCGAACACGTTGCTCCTCCGGCCACCGAAGAAACTAGGGATTAACGACATCGTTTTCTCCTGTTTCGGAATCGTACTAATCGAATCTCGCTAGATGGGTACGAGTACGACGATTACGCGAACGAATCGAATATATAAAGGGCGCGAGCGGTAATGATGGGTAAAATTCTGGAATTATCCTGAGACGTGAATTTTTGTGTTTTAGTAGGAGAGAATTGTACATGTGTCGTGCCAGTTTCTTGATTCGTAAGATTCGTGGCAGATTCAAAGTCCGAGGTGTCAGATTTTGTTATGAATTTGTTTGTTTCTGTCTGAATAAATCTTTGCTCACGCTACTTCAGTTCAATCCAGTGCTATGATGGCTGATAAATGACAGAAACCCCTATAAGCTGATACCTCATCTTTACATCACAAATTTCATCTCACCGCGTGGTTTTCATCTCGACCCTAAACTAGACTGGACAAAATCTCTACTTTAACTTTTACTATAAAATTAAAAGCTCTTTTACTATAATGGTGACCAATGTCTTAGAGTTGAGTGGTAAACATATAAATATTTTTCAACTCTATATACATATGTAACTCATCTTGTCGATCCTCATTTCTCAAATCAACTTGCATCTTTAGTCATCAGCTTTTAAAATAGTGTCTACTTTCATTCTTATAGCACTCATAATAAATTTGGTGGTTTGAACTACCTAATCACGGTCCATTATTTAATATTTATTCTTTAAATTTTCTATTAATAAGATATAATTTAGTTTCAGGTGTTGGGTTAATGGAACCAAAGTATGAAGGAAAAGAACACCAGAAAACCACAACATCTAGGCGTCATTTGTAATTCTTTGTAGTTCTGTATATATATTTGATACATTTGGGTTAAAGACTATAAATACTTCAGCTCTATTGTTTATWTGAAATATTAGAAAATCAACTCATAGCTAATACTGGGAGTATTATGCCACCCCCCCATAGGTGAGCTGCCAAAAAGCCAGCACCTAGGTGCTAGCCACAACGTTGCGGTGCTATGACTCCAATTCCATCCCATATTTTGTTTTCCAAATATTTTTCTTTTAGAGACTTTGTATTAGGTTTAGAAGTACATATAAATAAGTGGTTTGGGGCTTGTATTCATTTATAAAAAGAAAGATGTTTTCAATTGTATATCTTAGATATTCATTGTTAGATCTCCATTGTAATATTCTCAATTACAATAAAACATACTTTTTACAGATGATTGGACGTAGTCTAAAGATTGAGGCAAACCAGTAATAATCACTATAGTGTTAAGAATTTTCTATCTCTATCTCTTATTCTTTTGTTATTGTTATTCAATGTGCCTTTAAATCAAATAATTCCTATTTAAAAAACTCATAGGAGGATTGACTAATCTATATTTTTTTCTATGATAAGGATTATATAGTAAGTTGATTTTCAATATATGCACTAAAGAACAATATTTAAATAATGCTAACTCTTATGGTAGCCAAATTTTAACAGGCAAGAAGAAGTTTTTGAGAGTTTTTGATAATTAATTATTAAGAAGAAAATTCAAGATACGGAGACTAAACAACAGAACTCTCAAAATCTCGATGGCCTATGGAAGAAATACACAAAGAATATGAGTATAATTATTTAGTTGAGTTAAATTATTAAATAACCTAGATTTAAGCTAAATGTAATATCATATACTAGATGTTGAGGATATAATCCACCAAATTCTGCAGCGAAAGAAACGTAGAGCCCCCTTGTTTCAAACAAGAATCCGCCATGTCCTTGAAACCCTTGATCCTGTTCATCATCCCACCACTCTCCCGCTCCGCCATAAACCTCGTAATCCCCTTCTCTATCTGCCGTCTCTCCAGCAGCGCCCCAATTCCCCAGACGTCGCACACATATCTGGCGTTGGCCATCTGATCCCCAAAGAAAGGGTAGCACAGCATCGGGACCCCTTCACAAATACTCTCAATCGTCGAGTTCCATCCGCTGTGCGTCCAGAACCCCCCCACCGCCGGATGCGCCAGCACCTCCCGCTGCGGCGCCCATTTCACCACCAACCCTCCTCCTCCCCTCGCCCACCTCTCGTCGAACCCTTCCGGCACCCACTCCGACCCACTCGCCATCCCGGGCCGGACCACCCACAGGAACGGATGGCTGCACTTCGCCAGGCCGCTCGCGATCTCCACGAACTCGTCCCGGTCCACGGCGGCGAGGGTACCGAAGCAGACGTACAGGACTGATTTGGGGGGGTTTGTATCGAGCCAGGAGATAATGGAGGCGTGGTCTGGAGGAGGGTCGGTGGCGGCTGGGATTGTGGGCGGAAGGTGTTTGTGAAAAGGCCCCAGTGGGAAAATGGGGATTGGGGAGAAGAGGTTGCGGCACCGTACGAGGGGCTCGTGTTCGAGGGCGTCGAAGGAGTTGAAGATGAGGCCCGAGGAGGCCTTGGTCTCCCTCAGCACGGATGACATCAGCTGCTCAATCAGATGGGGATTTTGGCTGGTCTTCACCGCCGGTATGTCTTTCATTTTCAGATGCGGCAAATCAGGTACTGGATCTTCCATCTTCTCTTCTGCAATATTCATAGTCAAATTTACTAGTGTTTTAAAAAATAAAATAAACAAATTGATCTCTATTTGTTGACACACATAAAATTTTCGCACCACCTTGCTATTTAAGCTTCCTAATTTATTAATAAAATATTAAATCAACAAAATCTAACAACTTTATTGAGAATAATTCTAACAAAATTTAACAATCCTATTGATAATAGTTTTCCTAAATTAGGAATAAAATCCAAAATTTCGAAAGAGATTATTTCAGGACTCTCGCCTAATATCTTCCTACCTACTACAACTAAAAAATTCTAAGTTAAAATATTCTTTTGGTATCTATTTTCAGTCATGGGTCAAAATGAACCAAGATAATCAAAGTTAAAAGTATAGAACAAAAATCAATATTTTCAACTGCGACTAAAAGTACATAGCCTAGAATACTATTTTAACTAAAAATCTACTAATTTTTGTTGTAAGTGGGAGATGTAATGGCCTAAAATTTATATAATGACTTTGAAAAGTACCCCACTCTCCCCAAACAAACTAGGTAACAGGGACAAAAAAGAGAAGAAAAAAAAGCAAGACCACTTTAGTTATAAGTAGATTAGAAGAGAAGAGAGTGGGAAACAAAACGTGGAAAATTTGGGAGAGAGGGAAGAGCGAGCATGGCGAGAAAAGCAGATATATTGGCAGTCCTGAGAACTATTCTGGGGAGGGCAAAGGCATGGGCAACCCGTTGAGTGAAATGCCAGTGGGCATCCGTGATCAGGCAAGCCACGCGCTGTGCCGCCGCCAACTCCTCCCGGAGGCAGTTTGCGAATGCCTCCACGCAGCGGGCGTTGAGCAGCGTTATGAGCTCTAACACGCCCCCGCCGGAGATTTCGGTCTCTGACAGGCCGTCGGGAAAGGAGCGGAACGTGAAGAAGTGGGGGTTTTTGGAAGGGGATGGGGAGTTGAATTGGGTGTGAATGATTGTGATTGAGAAGCCTTTGGAGTAGAGGATTTCGGCCAGCTGAAGCATAGGGTTTATGTGGCCTTGGAACGGCACAGGAAACAGCACCACCCTCACTTCTCCCATTTTCTTGCCTCTTACAACTTGATTTTGCCTTGCCTTTCAAAACAAATATTCACTTCTCAGTTTTATTCATATTTTTGTTTGTTTTGTACTGAGTTTCCTTTCATTCAAAGCGTGTGTGTGTGTGATTTGTTTTGTTCACCTTTCTTGGCTACACATGTCCATGGTGTGAGTAATAGCATCATCTAATATCTCCATTCTTATCTTCACTAAAATTCACTCCCAATATTTTTGGGTTTAACTTGTTTTCTGATCTCTGAAAGATTTTTCTGACATCCCACCAAAAGCAAAAATACCAAAAATGCTAAGAATAGCTCGGAAGTTTAGAGTGTGTTTGGTTGGTAATTTGAAAATAAATAATTTCATGAAAAAATAGTTATTCAATGTTTTCAAATATGTATTTGGTAGAAAATTTCAAAATTGAACCTCAATTTGTATTGGATTATATATTTATCATCTATTAAGTTGTAGGGACTTCAGTACTCCAAGTACTCGAGTATCTCCACAATAGTATGATATTGTCCACTTTGAACGTTAACCCTCACGACTTTGTTTTTGTTTCACTCAAAAGGTTTCAAACCAATTGAAATAATTGTCTTCTCCTATGTACCACAGATCATCTCATTCCTTAGCCAACGTGAGACTTTGTTTGCATAATTTGTAGTCCCAACAACTTATTCATTCAAAATGAAAAAAATTTGCATGAGTTTTCGTTCACATAAATTAAATTAAAGTAATATAAATATTTAGATGTTGATGGATCATCGCCTATCTTTATGTTTATCGAAAAGTTAATAGCTCATTATTTTTATAAAGAATTATCCATTTTTGCCTTTCTGTCACAAATTTAACAGCGATAAGCACATAATAGGTGTTCACCCAACGGCTAAGATTTTTTCTTAAATTAATGACTATTTGTTCAAAAAGGTTCTGACAATATTGAGTAATTTTGGTTAATTATTATGGATATAATAGTAGCTTTTAGAAATGTAATTTTGAATCTTAGAGAGTAAGTAGTAATTTATAGATGTAGCAATTAAAGAAAGGGAAATTGGAGTGGTAAAGAGTGTAAATAAAGTCTCGCATTAGTTAGGAAATGAGTGATCCATGATATATAAGTGAGAACAATATCTTCATTAGTATAAGATTTATTGGGTGAAACCAGAAGTGTTATACCCAAAGCGAATAATATCATATCATTGTGCGTAAGTACTGTTGTGCCTAACAATAACTTACAATTTAAGGGGTCGTTGCTAAGTATCAATTTTTTTAGTTCAACRTAGAGATAGGGGTTTACCATTTCACATCAAAATTCGAAAAATCTTGGCCGAAACAAATGAAAAAAAAAAGATTCAATAATGAACACACAAGAAGGTTAGACAAAGAAGACCTCTTTAGTCGGTTAAATATCTATATATTCAAGTTTTTTTTTTAACACGACATATGGGGATGAAGGTTGAAACTCACAACTTTTTTATTGGAGATATGTGTCAATTACGGTGGCTCGCTTTAGCATTTATATGTTCAAGTTGATAGTTATTTTACTTTCCTAAAACTTTATGAGAATAACAAGATCGATTAAGTAACGCTTAAGTACAACTCATTAACGCTTTAATTTCTTATTTATTGTTATTCATTACGTTCTGCAAGTTTTTGTCCTACTTCAGTTTCAGCTCTGCAACGGACAGCGGCCTTGCCATTGGGCGGATATGGGCTTTCTGGAAAACAATATCAGCCCAGAAATCTTTTTTTCTTTTTGAGTTTATGCGTAATATGATGATATGAACTGCAGGGATTTAAGTTGGTTAGGCTTGGTTTAAATAATCAAACTTTAGGAGAGCCTCTTTGGTATATAACTCCAACTCCATTTGGACTCTGACCTTAAGTGAAAAACTTTTAAATAACATTTTTATGTTTTCAATTTTAAATTTTAAATTTGAGATTTTAAGATATATAATTACATTAATTTTTTATAAATATACTATTCCATACTTCTCTASTCACTCGCCTAAATTATGCGACTTTAAGTTGGGATAGTCTAGTTCTGAGCGAGCGTAGAGTCTTAGAGTTTTTAGATTGAGTTATCGAAAAGAAAAGTGCACCTTGTTAGTATATATAGTAATTATCAATTCTTTTAAGCCGTCACAAAATATAATATATTATAAATTATATAATATTATAAAATGATAATTCTACAAAATGTATAAAATATATGGTAATAAAGTAATAAAATTATTCTAGATTTAACTTAATATTTAGTTAGTAACACCTAGTTTACAAATATATTAATAAACACTTTAAATATTGAGAAACACTAAAACACGTGGAATATAAAAATCTTTTTTTTATTGAATCCAGATTTATGTTTTCAAATTACCAACTAAATACAYTATTTGTGGATTTTCAAATATTCACCTAATATAAAAAATGACTATCTCAACAGTATAAGAATATCTCTAAATTAAGATTCTTCCTATTACATAATATTTAATAAATATTTAGTAATACATTTAAAAGGTGGTTACTATATTAAAGTTTTAAAATATTAATGCTTGCTATACTTTTGTATTCAAATAAGCTTAATCCTATCAACCTGATCATAGCTAACGGTTGAAACATAAATCTCAAATCTAAAGGTCTTAAAAGATTGCAAGTTCAGATCTCCACTTTTAATGTTGTTGTACTTTGACCAATACTACGACTTCAAACTGTGAACAAAATAACTAGGTTAAGGCACTTATCTCGGTCATGAGTTTGAATTCCATCCGAGACTTATATTAAAAAACTAATCACATCAATCTTAAGATACTTGCATAATTTTAAACCAATTAATTATATTGTATTTTGAATTCCATTACTCAGTGGGACCGTTTGATCACATTCAAAATAATAAAAATAACAAAATTGGGTTGCTGTCGAGTCAGCATACAGGCATTCAAAAAAAGAAAAAAGAAGAAAAAGAGGAGTTTGACTAAGTCAATGGAAGCATTGAAAGTCTAAAAAGAAAAATAAAACAAAAATTCGAGAACCGAGGATGTTCCGAAATTTGCTCTTTCAAGATAAAGAAGCGGGAAAAATGAAACGGGGAACAGTTCCAGAAATGGGCCCTCCGTGGCCCACATCTGAAAACGTGGGGCCCACCTTTAAAATACCAAATCTATTCGGCCCCACGGCCCACTCGCCTTTCAAAAAATTTAAATCCCTTCGACTTCAAGTTTAAATTCGACTCGTCCAATTTTTCTAACATTAAAAAAAAAAAAAAAAAAATTTGCTTTTCGTATTTTCACAGTGACTGTGCTTCAAAAAATATATAAAGTAAAGTGGAGAGTTCCATCAAATCTTAGACTTAAGCTTGAAGCGATCAATTGATTGCCACTTTGCTTTTGTATTTTTCCCTAATCATTTATGGACTCCTATATGTCATTCACTAAATAAATAAAATTCATATTTTATACCATTTTGAACTAACTGTATAAAAAAATATTTTAAAAAATTCAAAGAAAATCCAACACCATTGGAAGTCATTTTCATTCATTATATTATTTTTGGATATTTTATCAAGTTTACAAGTTGTCATTGTCTTTATTATTTAACCCTTTCTCAATTTGAATTTCCCTCCTCACTCTCACTAGTCACTACCTACATCTCAACATCAGTTTTGCTCAAATGTCACAAGTGCCAAATTATTTTTAAATAATAAAAATTTAAAACTTTTTGAAATTTGAACAATTACAACAGAAATTTTGTTTTGAGCCAGCTATCCAACCCAACCATCATACCCATTTACCCCCTAATTTAAACATTAAAGAATATCATTACCCAAAAAAAAAAAAACTTGTACAAAATGTCACATGTGGAAGAGAAAATAACAAAAGGCAACATATATGTTATTATTTATTAAAGCATATCCTTCAACAAAACTACAAGCCAGAGGAATTTTACATTTTTCCCCTCACCCAAAAAAACATATCTCTAAAATCTCAATATAACACAAAATTACAGATTTTATTACAAGGACACAGACCATTCCCTGTCCTTTAGTTCTTCTTCAAGCTTCAATTCTTCCCACACTACTTCTACAACTTTCAGTGTTTCTTTATTCTAAAGCTGCGACATCCTTCAATAAATAACAACTTCCTGGTTACTTATTGCTGCCTCCTAAAACTAACAACTCCTTTTTTTCAATCCCATCATCTTCTTCTTCTTCTTCATGAATCAATACTTCTCTACTGCTACTTTAATGGCTTCTCCCTGTTCAAACCCTAAAACAAACTTTTTGATTTCAGTATGTCCATTCTTGAGGGAGATGAAGTTCTTGGTTTATGGCTGCCTCTCCCCGCAAGCTCCTTGGCAGTGGCAAAAGGGAAGTATTCCTCCGAGCTAACATGGCATCTATACCCATTAAAGAAACCCATCAAAATAAGCACAGATTTGGGGGCTAAATGGAAAAACAGGGGAAAACTCTGCTTACCGAAGCCAGGGGATAAGCAGCCATTGAACGGCGCTTGAATGGGATTTATCATCTCCTCTGGAAATCGAACGGCTGGGGTTCCTAATTAAATTAAACGATCAAGTTAAACAACAAAGAAACCCCCATGTGAGATTTGAGCAAAAGAGAGGTTGTGAAATGGCACCTTGTTTCTGGCGGCATTCCGAGGGATTTACATATCTGCGAGGCAAGAAAACGCCGGTGCCGGAGGAAGCTCTCTTGACGGCGGGTCCACCAGGATGAATACAACGCACGGCAGAGGCGTTGGGCGGTGGCGGCTGACTTTGGGGCGGCGGGAGCCATGCGGATTGGTATAAACCGGCGGCGCCACTGCATCTCCCCCCTCCAAGACCAATGTTTCTTTCCCTGTTCTGAATCTCCGGCTTCCGGTGCGGCGGAGCCGCCCAGTCTACCTTGGCTTGTCTACCCCAAGAAGAGGCACAAATAGCCTGCAGCACTAGATCATGTCTCACTTGCTGCACCTGTAAAACAATGGGATCTCAAAAACCTCAGAAATGAAAGATAACCCATAAAGAAAAAACAGAGGACCAAACTGTTCAAAATACTCTGTTCTTAGATTGGAGATTTGAAATGATTTACCTGCGCGGAAAATGCCAGATTCCGAGCACAGCCCTCATTCGAGAACAGCCCATAATCCACATTACTAGTCGATTTAACTGGAATGGAAGATCGAGCCCCCATAAATCCTCTAACGAAAGGGTCATTGCTCTGAAATGGGGTTGTTTCGGCGCTCATTTTCAACCTTGCAGCTTCTCTGGCAGCTGCATGAACGAGGACTCTCGCATCGTTCTCAGCCCCAAAAACCGCAATAGGAGGCGATTTCAACTGAGAAGACGGACTATGAGGGCGAAACCAGGCGTCTATTCCACTCAACGTCGACTGAGGAGACCCAGCCTTAACATACTTCTTCTGCAGCCCAGAAATCAAAATCAAATCAGAAACTAATTTACACGCCCAAAAGATAAGAAGTGAAGATTTCAACAAAATGGGTACCTCAAATTTGTTTGGATTGAAGCAGGGAGTGGGGGAGCTCTCAGTTTCACAGAGGTACGTCCATGCGAGTTGCCGAGCCAGCCCCACAAAGAAGTCGTCGTCGTCGCTGCTGTCCGTCGACTCGGTGGAGCTGACAACGGATTCCACCGGTGAGTTGAGGTCGAAGTTGGAGGCAAGCGAGTCAAACTCGTAAGGGAAGTCAGTGGGGAAGCTGAGAGTCTCCTTCCCGGCCGGAAGCCAGAAATTAGAGGCAAGTGTAGACTCAGCCATGGGAAGGGAATGGAGAGAGAAGTGGGAAAAAGGGATAGAAAGAGAGAGGGGATGTTGGGGAAAGGAAGAGGGTGCGTGAGGAAGATTTAATAATGAGAGGCAGCAGAGGATGTGCAGGTGGAGGGGGGACCCTACAAACCAAAAGCAAAGGGAGGAGAGTGGGGAATGTTAAGGAGAAGGTTGTGCTTTATAATTAAGGGCTCATTTGGGGGACAGTTCAAATTCAAAATGAGAGTGATTTGAAGACAACTGGAAAGGGAGGGCCAGTCGTTGGGGACATTTGTCCTTCTGTGCGACCCTTATGCCATATGTCACTAACACCAAGCTTTTAACTGTGTGCGTTACTTTTATACAGCAAAACATCTCAAAATGGGGTTTCAATTCTCATCAATACATAAATCATTTTCAATTTTTTTAACTTTTCTTTTCCTTTTCAAATCAGCCTCACCTCTCTGTGAGCATTGCAAAGTTATCTGTAGCAGTTTCTTGACAAATATTCAACATCATCAACATAAATCTCATATAAAGAGAAGATGAATTTTGGACAGAACAGAGAAAATTTGGATATAAATTAGAATTAGTGGAACTATTTGGCTGGGTAAAGATATTTAATTTAGGAGACAAATTAGTAGTGTATTTGTGGTGTTCTCAATCTCAGTCTTGGGTTTCGGCTTTAATCACTCTTACTTTACCTGATGTCACTCACTAATCAAAACCACTGACATAATCATTACCATATCTTATCTGTCCTACCATTTATTCTCATTTATTTCAAAAATTTCTCCTAATTTTTTAAAAAATTATAGAAGAAATTAGAAAATAAGAAACAAACTTTTTTCAAACATGTGGGACAGAGGGAAGAGTATAAAATCTGTGGGTGGCGCACAACTCCCGTGCCTCTGTGGGTGACCACAAAGAATTCCCGCCCTTAATTGGTATGGTATGTTAGAATCTGAATCTGTGACGTGGCACCAGTAGAGATTCAGCACTCTTAACTGCCAATCTAATTCGTGGGGCCCTCCAATAGTTGCCGTCTCTTTTAACGGATGTGACATTTATGTTTACGGCGTTGCTTT